GAGCGTTTTGAAATTCGCAAACAAATTTTGGATGATGTTAAGAGGTTAGAGAAGCAGTTTCAAATCACAACCCCTTTCTGTTGATCTATATGTCCTAAATGTTGAATTTTCTTTTAAACTCCACCCTGGTTTTCTTTTTCAGTTTAGAAGGAGGTGGAGTTGAAGCTGGGAAAAACACCAGGCTCCTTCAACTTGAACTAAGAGAGAGTGAACACCTGGCAGACAAGGTGGGTTCAGTGAGTACAGTGTTAACATCACAGCAGCAGCTTCCAGGTATAGGGTGTGTAAGCTATCATTTACTGTAACTATGTAAGCAGCAGAAGTTGCACAAATATTTGTTGTAAATCTCAGGCACAGCCTAATCTGACAATCAGAAAATACATTAATATCATAGATGTTTTAACTTTATAAAATTATCGTCGCTGTTGACGTATTGAAATGAGGTTAAAGCCAGAACTGGTAAGTCCTGACCATTATCCACCATTCTGTCAGTAATGGGCTTTTTGTCTGCCCAGCTGTCCCAGACTGTCTCTGACCTAACCACTGTCCTGCACGTGAAAGAGGCTGAACTGCAGTACTGGCAGTCACGGTACGTTTTCAGTACACCACAAGGGTGTATACTTCCTGCTTTCACTTGGTGTTCTTCAGTATTGGTACAAAAACAAGTGACCTAAAACCCTACATCTGACTTTGAAGTAACAATATCACAGGGTGATGAAAGGCATTTGATTACTTGGGTGTTTCAGTGTGACCCAGTACCGTCAAGAAGCACTTACTCTGGCTAAAAGGAGCAATACCCTGAAGGCGACCCTTTCAGAATTTGAGTTCACCATAGAGTGTCAGGCCAAAGAGTTGGGAGCCCTACATGCAGAGCAGAAAGGACTAAAGGAAGAGTTGGTGCAGGCTTATAAAGAGAAGGAGGAACTCTTGCAACGATGGATGGATGAGAAGAGAGAGGAGGCAGATAGGTTGAATAAACACAACGACACACAGGAAAGGTGTGTGTAATCTCTGCACATCTTACAAAGCTCAGAAAATAAGAGTTTGTCCACTTTGAATGGTAACCACAGTTTTGGTGATAATTGTTTTTTACCAGGTGGCAACGTTTGGCCAAACACCTGAAGAAGCGCACCCATAGGAAAAAGGGAAGAGTGTGTTCCCATATTGACCTGCCTTCGGAGTGATGCAACAGAAACGTCTCCATCAATCCTTCAGAGTAAGAATCAACGTTCTCAACAAAATATTAATGCCTAATGAAGTAGGTGCAAATAAATGGCTGCCTCTTAATTTCATACTATTACTTCACTTGCATCCTTGTAGGCACCAAGAGGGTTCATCAAGACCATTTTGATGCCCTTCTTAATTAATTAATTAAGGTCTAGTTTACAAAGTCAAAGCGATAAAGAGCTTCTTGATGCTGAATTGTTAACATGATAACAAAGCAAACTGATGAAGGATCACTTAGCCTTCATGAAAAATCTCAGTGGGCTCCAACAGTGGTGGGAGAAGTTTAGAGAAGTTTATTTAATTAAAATTACTAACATGACACCATAAAAAATAGTCCACTACAAGTAAAAGCCTTGCATTGAAACTCCCACTTAATTCTTCTTGTTTATGTATATAAACTCTTAATTGTCAAATAAATGTAGTGGAGTAACATTACATATTGTATAAAAACAGGAGCACTTCTGGTATCCCCTACCACCACTGGTGTGTTGAATAATTGTCTTTAGAATCAACATGAGTAAGCTGTGTTTATTTAAAGATGTGAATACTTAATGTATCTCAGTATCATCAAATTCAGTTAAGCTATTACAACTCTAACACTATGAGTCACTAGCTTAATATATTCTGGCAGAACAAGTGGGTATTACTTGAAATTTGTAATATAATGCACTTTATGTATCTTAGTGTAGTCAGCTTCAATAAAGTTGACAGGAACTCAATAGAGGTAAGTATCTACAGGGACTAAATTCAAGACAAGACAAGGCAGGGCAGCTTTATTTATATACAGTCGCACATTTCATACACACGAGGCAAATCAAAGTGCTTTACATAAGAAAAGAGAAATAGTAATAGCATTAAAACAATAAGCATTGAAACCAAAATCAAATCAGTTAAGACAAAATAAAGATAAAGCATTGTTACAATTATGATTAAAAACAAATAGACAAAGTAAAAGATCTGAAACACAATTAGTGCTAGTACTAATATTTATCATTGTTTATATTTGTTTTTTTTAATGGAAAAAAAACAACCATAACTCAGTTTAATCCATTTATTATAGACACACAAAGTTTCAACCATGAATGGGCTTTTCAAAATACAAGAAAGAAGAGTCACTGGAGGGCATTGACTCTCTAACAGTGCATGCTGGGAAGTCTGCCACCCCTGCTTATTTCTTCCTAAGTTATTCAAACTCGGATACCTTGAGTTGGTCAGTTTTTTGACTCCAAAATAAAGGTAACTTATTTAAAATCAGTGTTGATAACAGGTTGAAAAAACTGAGTTAGGCCCACTAATCTGTAATTCACCCCAGTGAATCTGACCAATCTTCAGTACAAATTCTGAATATTTGTTGTTTAATCTTGGGACATAAACATTACATAAAATGTGATAGAATAGTTCATATAAAAAAGAAAAATGTGAAAAATCCCCCCAAAATACAGGGTGGACTTTGGCCTCCTAAATCCTGTCTATAGCCGTTTTCAGGACCCTCAAATTAATATTGTGTAGAAGGAATATGCAGCAACGTCATCATCTGTGTGATGAATATAACCTAAAACACCTAGTTCAGTGTCTTTGTCATGCTTTTCTTGTCCTCAGGGATTAATACCACAGATACACCCCAGGGACACTCAGACCACAACTGTGTCTCAGCTGTGGCGAACGTCTAATATTCCCATGTGGTCCTGGAGACGACACCTCTCTGTCCTTTTCTATGGTGCTTGTAGTTTGAAAAACGAATTCCCCGTGCAGCCAGAAAGGTGACCCAGGAGTGACTTTTTGCAGCTGGTTTCATATCTGTATTGATGTTTTTAATGTATCTAAAATATATTCACCATAACCTCTAAATAGAATTGTTAAATTTAGACCTTTGTTAATGCCTAATTTTACATTTACTGCTCTAACTAAAGTCAGCTTCACTCAACTTAACTTACTCTTTCTGAACTTCATCCTGATTGACATCCCTCACTAAATAATGTTTTAGATGAGGTGATAAACCAGTGAAACAACCTCTGCTCATCTAGTTCACATCATTTAGATTGTAGGAGCTGGTGTTGTTGTTGTTGTTCAGTCAGGGCTTATTCTTAGTGACTATGTGACCAACTTTTAACTATGTTTATTTGCATGTTTATTCTTACTTTCGATGTCAAAAACAGTATTTGAAAGAAACTGAATAATCTGGAGCTGTAAAGATTTTTTTAACAAATTTAAATAACAATTCTTAAAATAATGTATTTAAAAGATTATCCCTGATGAATGTTACTGTATATAAGTAGCCTATGGGTTTTCTTTTATCAAGTTTCTCGTCCAAATAAAGTTACTTTAAGTGAATTTCTTTTGTGCTCCTTTGTCATGAAATCTTTACAGACGGAGAACAAAATTTGTAATTCTCAAACACTCATTCATTTAATAGCATTTTGGCTGCAAATTTGTTTTCAGTTGCTGAACAAAGACTTTTCCACATTTCAAAAAAATCCATCATACATTTAAATTCTTAATTGGTTGTAATTTAATATATTGTTTTATTAGCATTATAAGTTACACGTATTTAAAATGATAGTTTTTTTTAACCTTATAGTTCCACATCTCCACGGTCAGTTTGAGATCAGATTTCAGGTTGTTTGTTGAAGGTTTCCATAGTCACCTGTGTTTGAATGAGTTGTTGAGTTGGACTGTGTGTGTGTGTGGTGTACTGGTGAAACCACTCAGTGGACTGAATATCTCAAACGGTATAAAAATGGTAAAAGGTGGAAAGAGATACTCTTCAATGAGCAATGATGGCAAATGGGTGAGAACCTCTTTTCTTTATCACACAGATCAGATCATTAAAAGTAACGGCATCTGAACCTGGCTGTGTCTCTTCTCAGTTTGCTCATTCAGTTTTACCAGAAAATGACACCAAGAATGTTGAAACCTATACGAGCACTGGGATCATGCTGACTCAGGTTAAATCAGCATTGCCTCAGGCTTTGAACTTTAAGCGCTATCCTAAATGGAAAACTGAGCAGGTGTGTATGTAGCCTACAGTAGATAATACAGTGCTTGGCTTTGAAAGATTTCATTGTACTGCACAGAAACATATTTTCATTTCTATTCAGTTATATTTGACTCTGAACTGTCCTAATATGGTTGCTTCTTGGTTTTCTTGACAGAAATCCAGAGAATATCCTTTATCAGTCCATGACAACAAGCATGCCTTGAAAGACATCTCTGTCTTCACTCATGTGAGTATGAAGAGAAATCCTGGGCAATATGAATTGTTCACACCCATCACCGTGTTACAACCATGTCTTTAGCATATGTCGGTGCACTTCAGGGTGTGGGACGCAGGAAGTGTCTTGATGATCACAGACAGCACAACTCCCACTTCTGCCTGTGCCATGATGGAGCCAACAACAGCACTGAAGAGACAGGGGGGAACCTCACAGCCTACCAGGCTGACTTTATTGTGAAGCATGCTGTTAATGTTCCAACCAGCACCAGACTGTTCCCCCGCAACCACAAGCAGAAGTCTGAAGAGGCAGCTTTGGCACAGGCAGGGGAGCAATTCATGTGGTTCGGACGACACGACTCTGACTCCTCAGAAACCACGGAAATGCTGGCTGCTGCCAACCGCTCAGCACCTTCCAAGCCCTAAGGTACTCCTACATGTAAGGCACTAGATGGCATCACTGAGAGACGGCTCTGGTGAACTTTTTGGAGGGTCCAACAGTCAAATAAAGATCTTGATTGAAAACACCAGATAGCATTTCCACTGAAAGCTGTATTCCAGTCCTTACAAACAAGGTTTAACTTCACAGCAGTTCAAATTAGACTGGAAATTCAACTGTTAACAATCCACTTAATGTACTAATAATATACAATTGGTGCATCTTATACTTATTTTGGTAGTTCACAGGTTTGTCAGCAGAGGGCAGCAAGTTGGCATGCGTTATCAGTCGGCCTGAGGATCCACTCAGAATAGGTAGGGGGAGGATCGTTAGAAAAAAAACTAGCTATTTTTATTCAGTGCATATCAACATGAAGACATTAAATTAGAGCATATGAAATAAATTAAGCTTGATTTGATGGATAGTGTTGTTTCACCCCTGGGGACAAAAAAGGATGGATACTGTGTGTGTGTCACTCATACAAGAGAGGAGGAAGTGTGGGAGTGAATTACAGAGAACACTGCTAAGAGAAAAGCACTTAAGTGAAGAGTATACCTAACCACTGTCTCCAATAGCTGATGTTTTCTCCAGAGAATGTTCTGACCAGCTGCTTTCTTTCTTTAAGTACTCACCGGGGAGAGGCGTTTTTCTCTCAAGCTTTCTTTCAGCCATAGTAATTAGCTGATCCACATACAGCGCCGACCTTGTAGGAGTTTGTTTCACTTTTAGAAGGTGAAGTAGATCTCACAGCTTTTATATAACAAAACAAAAAAGCTGTGAGACATCCAGCTGCAGTCCTTTGTGATTTAACTTTGAGATTATCTTGCATATCCCTGCCAAAAAAACTGGGTCTTGGACGCAGGTGCATGACTGACACCAAGCTGCAGGGCGAGGGGTTCATAATAACCATACCTTTGATTAAAAAAGAAAGCAACAACAACAGCTGCACAGATATAAAAAAAAGGATACCAGCTCTACACCTATCTTTGCCATGCCATTGACAGAAGCTTACATTATATAGTGGTTAAACAGTTTTAGTGATCAGGTCATAGGCTATAAAGAGGTGCAGCGGTGTCGACAAGAGGAAAAGAAGTGTATATTGCTGAAAAACACCTCTGCTTGTGTTTGACAGTTGGTTCTGTCTGGTTTCAACTGGTTGTCTCTCACCTCTGTCCCTGTGGGTGCAGTTTGCAGACTACACTTCTCTTTGGACTCGTCACAACTTGACCAACTCCTCCGCACAGAAGCCACCAACACTTCACAATCAAACTGTCAGTAGCTCTGTCAGAATAGCAGTAAGGCTGTTAATATCAATCATTAGTATGTGGTGGTGTGCACTGTACACATCATGTTAGGCGAGCTGTGTGTTATAACGTTGAGCAAGACCGCAGGTAACTGTAAATACAGTAGCTAGGTGGAATATCAAACCCTCTCCCGATGACGAAAGACGCATCTCACTAAACAAGCAGTCAACCACTAAAGCCTTTGCACTTCATAAATATTAAATCAGACACTTTGTATCCTACCTCTTTGGTGTTGGAAGGCCCTAGTCTGAATTCTTACCATTTGCTGTGATTCATTCACATGTGTATGTGCAGGTGCATGTGTCTCTTTGATGTGTTGAGTTGAGAGGTTTTGCACCTGTTGGAGGAAAAAATGCTTTGAGAACAAGAGGTGCTTTTGCCTGACAGTCAGAATAACAGCAACAGAGGGAGGATTTGTAATGCTATTGCTGCCTTGTGCTCTGTGTGTATTTTCTTTTCATAAAGGCTGCTGTGCTGTTTTGACATATTTGTTGTGTGCACAGGAAAACCTTTTTTTTTTTTTTCCTCGTCTCAGTTTAGGCATCTGTTCTGGGATTATGACATTGTGCATTTTCCGTTTTGTCCATTACCTATTCATTAAAGATGTGACTTGAAAGAAGAGTTGCCATGGAGATGCTGCGCTTAATTCACTTATCTCAGTATTTTTTCTGTGTATTCTTTTAACTTTAACATCTAGATTACCTGATTTCTCTGGATTTGTCGTTTCTTCTTGTATCATTTGTTAATAAGCTTGACTTTTCTTTATGCGTAACATTTTATCTTGTTCAAACATTCAGTATGCCGTTCAAATAAAAACTGTATCCAAAAAAGCTTTCAAGACACACGGTTGACTCCCCTGGCTGTGTTAAACTACCTAACTGGAAGTTTGGAAATCTCCTTCCAGTCTCCTGTCAATCATTCCACTTTGCAATACTTTTAGTTCCCTGGCATTTTTTATTTTTTTTTTTTAGACAGTGAGTCGGTTAGTGTCCCCTAGCAGCTTAGTGGTCCTTGTTCCTGTAATGGTGAGGGGCCCTCGAGAGTCTGAGGGTTGTGATAAAGGTGGCTGGCTATCTCATTTCCACAGAGGACATGATAACATCCTGAGAACATTCCCATCACTCAAGGAGTTTGTTCAGTGGAGATAAGATCACTCAAGGAGTTTGTTCAGTGGAGATAAGACCTACTCTGCTAAAGCTCAGTTAAGAAGCTCTGTGGGTGCGTGTTTGTGTGCCTTTGCACTCTGCATGCATGTTTAAATGGAATACTTTGGAGCTTGTTAGCTGCAGCCCTGCTCAGGCCCGATGCCCATGTTACAGCCTTGAGGTCTGCCGGCCTGGCATTGTAACATCAAACGATGCTGCAGAAACACTGCCTCAAAAGATCCGACCTGTCCACATTCCTCCATGCGCTATTCAAACCTCCGACACAGTTTGCATGCTAATTTGTGTGTAGGTGGTGAGTATAATTACATTATGCTGGTTGTAAACAAAGCCAAGAGAGAATAAGATAATACAGTAGTTTATACAAGGGTGGATGAGTTCATCAAACAGTTTATATGAAGAAAACTGTATTCCAGGCGGTGTCAGTTTGTAAGTGTAGCTATTGTAGCTGTCATGAAACAGCAAAATTGTGCCAAATAAAAGAGATTAATTTCTATCTCTAGTCTTTTGGGGAGAATCAGGATTCTCTTGTAAAAATGCAAGAAACAACAAACGAGTTGACATGAATGGACAATTCTGTGCCTAGAAACACACTTTACAGGTCAACTTGCATTGCTACATTTGTATAGTATTACTAAATATTTAATCACAGCTCTGCCTCTTAGTTCCATTTGGTCTGCTCCATCATAACCACAACTTCACAGCATTTTAATCTCATTAGGTACAATGGATAAATCTATTCCAGTTTACAGGTCAGGAGCTGGACCACACACCCAACAGAATCTGCTTTTTTACACTAATGCTTGTCATTTCAGGAACCTGAGTTTAAAAAATATGTCAGCAATTGAAGTTGGTCACATTTGACACAGTCCTCTAATTAGAAGAGACAAGTGCAACTGAAACAAAGGGTCACTTCACTCAGTTTTGCTTACATTTCGATTTCTTCAGTCTGTATTTTTGGTGCTCACAGTATAGACTGCTAATGTTTTCATATATAACTGTATAGCTTCCTGTTTTCAGCTCTATTGCATACTGTATCTAGAGTTTATGTAGTCAGCCATGGAAACTAATGCTGAACATCTCACATAATCAATCACACATTG